CTTACTTTTAATTAATGTTGGAGAAACACTGACCTGTGCATTGGACTCTAGATTGTTCAGCCTTTTGAGGGCCTGTTCTGTTTCAGCCAGACTGTTCGCAGATATGCATAGTTCCCTCTCCTGAGCTGTGAGATGCTCTAGACATAACTCCATCTAAACAGAAAAGAAAAGACTAACTATAAAGCAGACCTCCGTTAGATTCCAGAGGCATTAGTCACAAAAACACAAACACAGACAGACAGGTAGATGACAGCCTTACCTCCTGAAAGCTTTGCTCATATCTGAGCAACTGGAGATACTGATGGAGCTTTAGATGATGCTTCTCAAAAAAGCCATCAAAGGCAGACTCCATGTCTCTGAGCTGGGCGAGAAGCCTAAAAACACAAAGTGCATTCCCTTTGATCTCATTTGCGTCTCCTATTAAAGCTACTGCTCAGTAAGCATTCGTTTATACACTTTGGCTAGAAGAAGGACGGTGTAGATTACAATTTTAATTTGAAATATACTTAAAAACTGTTGCTTGAAGATAATTTACCTTTGCACCGTCTCCCAGTCCAGCTTCACGTCCCACTGGGAGTCATCCTCCTTCGCAGTGGTCTCCAGGCTGGAGAGAAGATGACGACCCTCCTTTGACACCGACCTGATTGCATCCTTCCAAAGGAGGAAAAGATTGTAGCACATAACACTAGATTAATGTCAAAGTTTTGATATTACTAAACGTATCTCAATGGAAAACATCAGTTTTCTGTACTTACTTTCAGTTTTCTGTACTTGTCCGTGTGCAACTCGAGGAGACACTCTATGGCTTTCGCCTCTTCGGGCAGCTCCGTCTCTGCCAGCTCAGTGCCAAAGCCCTGTAGCATCTGTGCAATGTCTTTGACTGTTACAGCGAAACTTTCAATGGCCTGTATTGAAAAATGCAAACGCAAAAACAAAGCAATATAAGTGCATAGACAATTAATTACACTGTAGTATTCATTTGAGTAGGAAAAAAGAAGAATCTTTGACTCACTGTTCTTAATAGAGTTTTAACAGTAAAAAAGGGCCCTGATGTGACATGTGCAAAGAATGATGTCACTCTGGAGAGGTTTGAAAACTCAAGAATACGTTGGAAGAATAGGTGACAGAATGTATATTGAATATCTGTGAAAATGTCAGCTCTGTCATAGAGGGAATGTAGAACGATAGATTTTTATTGTTTGACTGGACTGTGCTTTTGAATCTGGAGCTCACCGTCCGCAAAACAATCCAGTCACTGTGACAGTAGTCCAGAGTGCCTCCAAACTCTGACGTCAGCTGGTTCTCATCGATGTAGCGCAGCAGGTCTGTGACAGAACTCAGCATCACCACCTAAAGGTACAGACAGAAACTGAGACCTGACAGATGCTCGCTTTATAACTCTTGTTTTAAAAGATATCACAGGTTGTTTTTGTAGATGAGAAAATG